AAAGCATTTTCGAATTAATTCATTATCTTTTTACTACTAATTGTGTCAAAAAACCTCTCACCTAATTTTTTTTAAAAAAACTTATTTTATAAGTATACGTAATAAAAAGAATCATTCTTCTCATCTTGAATTATATATCTTAAATTTAATAATTAAGTCAATCCACAACTTATTAATATCCATAATTAGTATGTGGTTCACACATCGTTAGACTTTTAGTATAAACATTCACTCGTTATTATATTTCATACATTATGGTATTTTATTTTGATGTATGAATTCAGATCGTAATAGGTCGTACCGTGTAAATCATTTTTCTTTTGAGATCGCTTTCTTTTGTTGAGCGAGGTTTTGTCTTCAGGCACATGGCCCATCTTGCGGTTTTGTCTTCTCAAGGGAAAAATATCAAAGAGAGGAAAATCGTGCTTTTAGTTGTAGACGGTGACACCGACATTCATTTCATTGTCACCAAATCCTGAAGACCCATTTGTTTTTTTCAATGGATTCTTTATTATTTAGCTTTGAAAAGCGATGGGGAAGTTAGTGGGTAGATTGATTCTAAAGTCAAATCTAGTTGTAAAGAACCTCGATTTGGTTACATTTATTTTATTTTATTTGTCCAGAGGTTTCATTTTAGTTTTTAACAAATAGAAATTCCATAATTTCAACACGCAATTAGGTAGTTTTGAATACTATTTTGTCAATAACGAGCCAGATTATCTATATCCTTGGAAATGTAGAATTTTACATTGGGAAGCTTAACTAGATGTTAATAAAATATGTTTTGAAAACGGGTTGTACATCCCCTTTTACAAAAAATAATTTAATCTTTAGTATACTGTTATATTAGTGATTATAAAGAATTGGTCTAGTGATGGAGTGTGTTATTTCTACTTAACTTTACAATTTCAATTTTTAAAACCAATATTAAAAAAAATTATTTAATTGAAATGGACCATATGAAAAAACCATATTAGGGGCCTGATGTTTTGTGCTGCTGACTATGGGGTTCGAACCCATGCGTACTTATGTACAGAAGATCTTAAGTCTTCCCCCTTAACCTCTCGGGCAAACCAGCTACTGACAGTGCTGCTTAAATGTTCGCTACTTTTTTAGTATAATTTTGGCAACTAATGTAAGAAATGCTAATAGGTTCACCGATATTTACGTACTTAACAAACTAATATGACATTTGTTATGTATAATTTTTTTTTTTAACTATAACTATATATATATATGTAAAGTTTTTAAAGTTATGGTAGGGTGAATATTAATTAGTTCGTTTAATCAGATATTATTATAAATAAATTTAATTTAAGATCTTAGTATCAAACACAAGCTGTCATATTATTAGTTAGCAATGTTTAGTATCTCTTATATTATTCAATTTCTTTCAACTGGCATTTTTGGATTCACCTCTAGAAGTTGGCTGAAATTAAAGTGAAAAATTTTGAGGATAATATTTAAAGTATATATTGTTATTATCCATTTATTTAAGAAAAAACATAATCGTAACATATTCTGTAACACATATTTAATATTCATCAATTCACCCATTGTTTTTTATAAGGCAGTGATTTATACAGTATCATTTATAATCTTTTAAAGATACAACTTAACAGTTAAGATTTGAGATTTTCACTTAAAAATATAAATTCAAATTCTAAAACAAAATTGATAAAATGGGATTTACGAATGAAAAATTATTCATATTGTGTGGCATACGATCAAATTATTTGGAACTTGCCTCAGTATTTCATCAACGGCATGCTGCCTCCTATTTTCATCAACGGTTTTGCCGGACGTAGAAACTAATGAGTGCTATCGTCACCGCTCTTTTCTTTGGTAAAGTTCCACGGCTCTTTCAATAGGTAGCAAGGCATTATCTTGTAAGGTGGAAAAGCAAAAAATCGCCATCAATTTTATTCCAAAACGAAAAAAGCTGGCGAGACAATGAGTAATTGTAATAAGCATAGAGGACATTCCAGCAGGCATAATAGTTGATGCAGATAAGTACTGTAGAAAGTTATGTTCTGTACTTCTTATACTTCTTTTCAAGATTTATCGGTAAGAGCTGTACTGTTTTTTTTTTTTTTTACTTTTCCTCGGAAATTGATTTCTAGGGTTTCATGCAACTGCGAATGTATGCCAATTTAAGAAGAGCCTTCTTTAATTTGGAATAAAAAAGGTCAAGTTTGTTTCCATTGTATTTTGGGCTGCAACAAAAAATGAATAGTAGCTAGTGAAATACTGCCTCCATTTAAATAGCCAAGCTGTAAAACAGCTTTTACTTGGCAAAGATACTTTACGAACACGAATTTTCTCCCTATTACCTAACCTCTCTCTTTATGCATGCAATAAATTTGTGAAGCTTTCTTTAGAATCACATCTCCGGTTGTCCACCTTTGGAGGCTTGACTAAGGAGGCAAAGTGGTATGATTCCAAGATCTGAATATTAATCCAATTTAAGGTATGTTTAAGATCTAATAAAAAAAAATGATTATATCTTTGATGGGTAGAAATTAAAATATCAGCCAAAATAATTAAGATCTAGAAAGTGTTGAAAACCATGCAACAATAACATTGAGTAAGTTCTAAACTAACAATCCATGAGCAATTTCAATCCTACATCATGAAAAACCAAACAAATCTTTCAATAATGAAGCTGCCCTAACTTGAACTTGAAGCTTCAAACCATGATTGTAATTTTATTAAAAAAGCAGAGAGGTCAATCTAGGCAATTTGCCAAAGGCTCCATGTGGTCGAGACTTGATATAATTGTTTCCTTCTTCGGCGGTGGACATCCCGTACGCCAATTCCCACAATTAAATGATTTGTTAGGCCATCCGTAGTTAAAAATGACAAGGGACTGGAACGCAGTTTAGAAAACATGTATATTAGGTCCCAATGTTGCTTCAATTTGATATATTAGCCCCAAATTGGAATAAAATTTTCAAACTCATGGACTTTGCAACTCATTGAAAATATTTACCTCAGAATACTAACCCTTTTAGCAGCATATATAATATAACCGAGAGTTTCAAGAGGAGAGATGTACTGTTGTGACTGAAATAGATAAAGAAAATAGGTAAGTACTGTCTAGGTGGTAAAGTATATATTTTTCTATGAGATTAAGTCTTAAATTTAAGAATACATTTAAAATTTATTATTAAAATTGAAAACTTTTTGAGATTTAGGGTGTCACAATCATCCAAACATCAATATAATTATTTTTTCAAATCTCTTAAATATAATGATTCAAGACTCGAAATCGACTCGATGGTTAAAATGAAAAGCAATTGATATAAAAATATTTTAGTATTAATAATAAAAATGTAATAAACTGTGAATTATACTAACGAAAAATGATAATTATGATAAAAAATAAAAAATAATATTATTTTTAGTAATTACAATTGTCAATTCTATTGGTTATAGTCGAATATCATAGCTAAAATGTAATTGACCTACCAATAAATCACCTCTCCTATCTTGTTAAATAGCTTAGATTTGAGGCATGATATTGGTAGCAACTACATGTCTCATGATTTCATTACAAATGTACCTTTAGCTTTAATTCTAATATAAATGGCATAGATCCTTTCATATATGTATGGATATTGAAAATTTAATATATCCTATTGAGAGTTTCGGATAACCTAACACCTATTTGTGGATGATGATTTGCAAATGAGGGAATAACTGAGATAACAATAGAGATAGTAATGAAAGATGAAATTGAACAATCCACACAAGTTTAAGCACCAAAATGAGCATTTCACCAGAAACCATGCAAAATAAAACTTTGGTCCTCTTTTCCACTCTAATATAAGTAGGAGTATATTTTATCAAGGAAGCCCTCTCTCAAGAGCTGCTGATTTCACGGCAATTCTTGTGGCCTTCCCTCTCTGAGCCTTGTTCGACCGTCCCTTTTCCTCTCCCTCTCGCGCGTAGATTATAGGAGTTTTGTACTAACAAAACAAAAGTAAACTCCGATTTTTCTTATTTAACACAGCTCCTTGTATTCTTCTTCTTCTCATATTTCTTTATCCTTGCCTTTCCTTTTCTTTTCATGAAGTAGCTTTGGATCAATCTCTCTCTCGTTCTACTAAACACATAAGGCTATAAAAGCTTCCATCTTTAGCACTCCAGATCTGCTTCTCTTCATTTTATCAATACAAGGTATGTTAGAATGTGATTTTTTCACTCATTTATAATATCCAGCTCATACATCATGGATCTTTGTGTTGTTTATACATTTGTGAATGTCTTCTAAAGTGTTTATCTGGGTTTCTTTTCTTTTTCGCAAAACATGTGAGACACGATTAAGGTGTAAAGGATCTTATGTGATTTTGATGTAATCCCTTATGGAGTTAATGTGCTAAATATTTGTTTTTAGCAAAAAGGCTGTCGTTGTAATGGCGTAATTATATAGATCTGCATTGTTTTATTGTTTTCGTGTTTTAACTTTATTGGTTTTGCTTGTAAAGTTGTGTTTTGTGGATATTTGTAACGGGATTTTAAGACTTTCTTTTGTTAAGTTAAAATTCCTTTGGAAAGCAAGCATTCGGTCATTTGGTATGTTAGTAGTGTTTTTTTTTTGAAGAAAGTTTGTCATTGTTTTCTAAAAGAATAGTTGATTCGATCCACTCTTGATGTAAGCATTAATATTTGTTTTTTGCTACTTGAGTTCGATGCCAATTTAATTTCTTAAGAAAGAAAAGATTTTATCTTTTTTCAATTATGTTTACGACTTTAGAATCTTCATATGTGACTTGCCTGTTTTAAGGTTGGACTTGATTAGTCTGAATGTGTTGCTTGTCTGTTTTGGGAGCTATGCAACTTAATGTGTGTAAAATATTGATGAAATGTGATTTGCAGTTTTTGACCGATGTTCAAAATGCATGCTTTGTAGGCTGTGTCGCAATGAGATTTCTCTAAGTTTCAACTTTGATCTGCAGGTGTTAAAAATTTTGATAACTGATTGGCTATAGTAGAACATGGCGTTAGGAAAATATAGCAGGGTAGACAATAGAAGACAAAATTCGAGTTACTGCTCGGCAGTGACAATCGTGGTGTTTGTGGGTCTCTGCTTGGTTGGGGTGTGGATGTTGACATCGTCTTCTGTGGTTCCTGGACAGAATGTAGATGTTCCTGCTCAGGAAAACAAGAACGGGGTGAAGCAACAAGTGCCTGAGAGCAATGAAATCAATCCGAAGCAATTTGAGGATAGCCAGGGTGATTTGCCTGAGGATGCGACAAAAGGAGGCAACACTACACCTGAAGAGAAGCTGGAAGAGAAGCCTGTAGAGAAGCCTGAGGAGATTCCTGAAGAGAAGCCGGAGGAGAAGCCAGAAGAGAAGCCTGAGGAGAAGCCAGAAGAGAAACCTGAGGGAAAATCTAATGAAGAGATCAAGTCTGGTGATGGGTCGAATACTGAGACACAAAATGGAGGCAATAATGCAGAAGATGGGGACGCTAAAACCAACAATGGAGAAACAAACACAGAAGATGGTGGGACAAAGCCAGATGATGGTGACAGTAATGCAGCTGGACAAGGAGATTCCCAGGAAAATTCAACAGAGAAGAAACCTGATACTGATGAGACTGAAACAAAACTGGATGAGAACACTGGTGAAGGTAAGGATGGGGAAACAGGTAATGATCAGATAGATGAGAAGGTGGATCAGAAAGATAATAAGGAGTCAGATAAAAGTCCTGATGGGCAGGTCAGCAACCGGAGTCAAGGTGAGTTACTTCCTTCAGGGGCTCAGTCAGAGCTTTTGAATGAGACCACCACTCAGAGTGGGTCGTGGTCAACTCAGGCGGCAGAATCAAAGAATGAGAAGGAAACTCAGAAGTCTTCTGACCAACAACAGGGATACAATTGGAAACTGTGCAATGCCACTGCCGGCCCTGATTTCATCCCATGTCTTGACAATTGGCAAGCAATTAGGAGTCTTAGATCTACAAAGCACTATGAACATCGAGAGAGGCACTGTCCTGAAGAACCTCCATCCTGTCTTGTTCCTCTTCCTGACGGATATAAACGCCCAGTTGAGTGGCCTACAAGCAGGGAAAAGGTATGGACAATAGATTTATGCAAGTTCATTGATAGTCTGCCATTTTTCTTGCAATTTTGGATAAATACACTGTGTTGCTGCAGATATGGTACCATAATGTTCCCCACACCAAGCTTGCAGAAGTTAAGGGGCATCAAAACTGGGTGAAAATTACTGGTGAATTCCTCACTTTCCCTGGTGGTGGAACCCAGTTTAAGCATGGTGCTCTACATTACATCGACTTCATAAATGAGGTGAACCTAGTTATATGCTATTTTTTTAATGCCCTTTTCTGTGTGTTTTAGAAATGTACGGTTGCTACTTGCTACTCTCCTCCCTCTGGGTTGCAAATATTATGGAGTTATTGATATAATTGCACATACCTGGCTTTGTATTATCATTACAGATATCATTGCCTTTAGTTTTCTGAAAGTTTAAGTGTAACATCAAAGATGCTGGTTGAGTGGTAAGACATTTTGAGATCTTTGCCTCACGAATAATTTTGAATCCCCCTTTTGGTGGTTAGTCCAAGTGATAGAGTTCTAGTTTAACTAGATCTGGGTTACCCCCGCACTTGATGGAGCAGCATCTTGGGTTAAAAATTGGATGCATGGTATATCCAAATTCATCAGTCATCACTAAATCAGCATGGTATTGGAGCCTTTAGGATGTATTTTGGAAACCTGGAAAGATTGGTAAAATAATTGAAAGGAAGGTGCAGGGGTTATTTTAGGTTGGAAGAAAGATAGTTAGAGCTGCTGTGAGGCTGGAGCTGACTTGGAAACTGCTGATAAACTGCGTTGGCCAGTACAGACTCATAAAGGGCGAAAATACTGAACTTAATTAAAGTCAAGTGTTTCTTTTATTGGCATGTGTGATAGAATGATTATGTGTACAAGGATCCACTGTTCCAATTCTCTTGTGTCCATAAATCTGAAAAAATCTTTAATAATACTGCATCCTACTTTTTCAAATTCAGAAAAATTGCATTTCCATGTTGAAAAGCTTATTTCTCAATCCCTCACATATTTACTGTTTGCATTTTGACAACGGGATGCATAAGCTTTTAGTAGCTCTTATTTGAATTTTGTGTCATTCTCCTGTAAGATAAGTCTGAATGTTGAGACATATATGGTGCAGTCTGTGCCTGACATTGCATGGGGAAAACGAACCCGTGTGATATTGGATGTTGGATGTGGAGTTGCTAGCTTTGGAGGATATCTTTTTGACAGAGACGTCCTAGCAATGTCATTTGCCCCTAAAGATGAGCATGAAGCTCAAGTACAATTTGCTCTTGAAAGAGGAATCCCAGCTATATCTGCAGTTATGGGAACCAAGAGGCTTCCCTACCCAGGCAGAGTTTTCGACGCTGTTCATTGTGCGCGCTGTAGGGTACCTTGGCATATTGAAGGTAGGCACTTAATTTGCATTTCCTTGTATAGCTTTTAAGCTCATCCAAACTTTTATTTTATTTTTTTGGTTGCGTTCTTTGATTTGCATCATGTGCCCATCCCTTCTGTTGGATACTGATTTTAAAATGGGGTTTCTTAGTTTTGTTTAACAAAATAAAAGGAGGAACATATAATTTAATTTTCTTTTTATCTTAATCAAGCAATTGACATATGCAGGCGGTAAACTTCTTCTGGAGCTGAATCGTATGTTGCGACCTGGTGGTTTCTTTGTGTGGTCTGCTACTCCTGTTTATCAGAAACTAGCTGAAGATGTTGAAATTTGGCAAGGTGGGTGATTACTTCACCAAATATGCACTAATTTTGAGAGAGTTGATTATTCTAACTTGTGCTTTTCATGGGTATTGTTTGCAGCCATGACTGAACTAACAAAAGCTATGTGCTGGGATCTTGTGTCTATTAACAAAGACACCATTAATGGAGTGGGTGTGGCCACATACAGGAAGCCTACTTCCAATGAGTGCTATGAGCAAAGATCAAAACAAGAGCCTCCACTCTGTGAAGCATCCGATGATCCTAATGCAGCCTGGTAATAATCTATGTTCTAGTGCTAAAAATTCCGTGTATATGTGCCTTTTAACAATTGCACCATGCAGATGTATCTTGTGAAATCTCTATGTTCTTTAAGTTGCTTGTGAATTGGAAAGTGGAACATGCACTAAATGTTAAGTAAGGTGGTAATTTTTCTTAGAACAAATTTTCGTGCTTAGGAATAGCAAGCATGCATCACAAGGTGCATAACTTTTATAACTTGATTTTATTCCTGTGCTTAGGAATGTGCCACTGCAAGCGTGTATGCATAAGGTTCCTGTGGATTCACAGGAGCGTGGGTCTCAGTGGCCAGAGCAATGGCCAGCAAGGTTGGATAAAGCACCTTATTGGATGTTGAGTTCCCAAGTTGGAGTTTATGGTAAACCAGCACCAGAAGATTTCACTGCAGATTATGAGCACTGGAAGCGGGTGGTCTCCAATTCATATCTAAATGGAATTGGAATAAACTGGTCATCTGTGAGAAATGCCATGGACATGAGATCTGTTTATGGAGGGTAAGCACCTTTTTTGTTGTTTCTTGTAGAAAGTGTTATATGGTTAATGCTCCTTTTTATTTTTCTGGCAAAATACCACACTTGTCAACTTGATTTTATCTTTCGTACCATGCTTCTTTATAATGTATAAATATGTTTTGCTGGCATGGAGAATAATCCTCCACCTTCTCCTTTGAGCAGGGTTTGGTGCTTCTGTAAAGTCATATACTATAATGTAAATATTGGCTCTTTAATTTGGTCTGATCTTCTTGTTGTGTTGGCAGTTTAGCTGCAGCTCTGAAGGAGTTGAATGTGTGGGTCATGAATGTAATCACAGTAGATTCACCAGATACTCTACCTATAATTTATGAACGTGGGCTGTTTGGAATTTATCATGACTGGTGTGAATCATTTAGCACTTATCCTAGATCTTATGATCTTCTCCATGCGGACCATCTATTCTCCAAGGTTAAAAAGAGGTATATAATAATAATCTAACACTCATTTCTTACTGCTGAAAGCTCCACTTGATAGACCTAACTGTTTCTCTATTTTGCGTCGTCCAACCTTGCAATGGTGTGTGGGTCTTACAGGTGCAGTTTGGTGGCTGTATTTGCGGAAGTTGATAGAGTTCTTAGGCCGGAAGGGAAGCTCATTGTTCGGGACAATGTGGAGACCATTAACGAGCTAGAGAACATGGCAAGGTCTATGCAGTGGGAGGTTCGTATGACCTACTCTAAGGACAAGGAAGGATTGTTGTGTGTCCAAAAATCCATGTGGCGACCCAAAGAGTCAGAGACAATCACGTATGCTATTGCTTAAGCTTGATTCCAGCCCCCTGTCGTTGGCACTTCCATTCTTGGTGTTCTATTGCAAGTGAGATTAGGTATTCTTTTTGCTCTGGTTGCTAATTACAATTCGTGTAATTGTATCTCCATGCTAGCTGGTGTACCATGATAATTAGGATCGTCATTATCTGACGTTTTTCGATCTTTTAGTTTTATGATTTCTTCATCCCAAGATTTGTGTCACAGTTTTCGGTGTAATATCATTGTTAAAAGACGAAACATTCTTTGTTTCTTTGAAGTGTAAAGTCCAATTGTTAGAAGTTCCAACGAACATCAAATTTTTGGAATATCATATTGAAATGTGTAATGAATTTGTTTCTATTGCATTTCGATGAAAGAAAAGTTGATTGTGCACAACTACAGGGCTTCTGTGTGATTGGTGAAAAAGAACACGATAATCCTTTTTTAATAGCTGGAGATTCAATTTTTATTTCCTCAGTGTCTTAACAATGCTTTTGCAGTTATAACTACATTATAGTAATTGATTTTTCCCAGACTTTATTCTTTTCCATGTGCCCATGTCCAGAAATATGTTTGTCAAAAACTGAACAATATGTATTTTCTAGTTCGACCTAAAGCTACTAACCATAATCCTATTCCTAGGTCGACCTTTCAGCAAGACTGTTCTTATCATCATGCAACGTTCTTAATTTTTATCAAAAGCCAATTCCGAATCGATTGTCAAAATCCTTTTTCATAATTTCTAATAAATAATGCTTCCTTTTCTCAGAATCTATTATGTTTGTTGAGATCGTTCGGAAAAAAAAGAGAAAAAAAGATTTTAGTAACTGGCCAGGAAATTTTCGAGCTATGACAGCCGTAATTAGAAAGCAGTTGCTTAATATAAAATTCTTCCTAGTTGATCCTTTTTGGCTTGCAAAAGGATTATTGTATGCATCTATATATATTGATAGAATTTTTTTATATACTTTTTTTTAAGAGTTTTTCATTCTCATCCACCCTTATATATGGATATTCTCTCTCATATACCCTTTTACTACTTTTAGGGAAAAAAAATGTCCCTTGGACAGGCACAAGAAAATCAATTTTCAAAAACATACAAAAATAGATTTAATTTTCCAAACCTTAACAAGAAAAAACATTTTTTTTGAAACATATCAAGAAAATTGAAAAAAAAAAAAAGATGAAAAAACATTGATAACTAATGGAATAATTGAAAACCCAAATCCAATACTCATTTCATGGACATATACATATTTCTATTAATGAGATTTTATGGACAGATTTTTACATTTTTAACAAGTTATTATTATTATTATTATTATTATTATTATTGGTTTTTCAATACTTTCTTCTTTTCCTTTCACTAAAACAAATTTCAAATTTAGTTATGAAAATATTCGTCCCCAAACAATTGAAATTCGTCAACGAAAACATTTTGGAACGCCGAGCTAAATCGTCTCAAAAGCCACGTAGCTAATTGTATTTTTAGGCACAAAGTAAAAGTTGTCCCTAAAGGATAATCATTATGGACGAATTTGACTTTTGTCCATGAATGTCGATCATTTGCGGATAATTATTTTCATCTTAAAATATATCTATTTTTGTCCGGAGTTAGTCCATTTTGTCCGCATTTGTAGAAGATTTGAGTGGGGAGAAAACATTTTTATTAACGATAAAAATTCATCATGAAATGTAACTATAAAATGGTTACGAAACATTTCATCCACAATGACTTAATTTTTTAGACAAAAAATTTCGTCCCTAATTTCTTGTAATATTTTTAGGCCACAAATTTCAGCCATGATTGCTTTTAATTTGGGATGATAAATTTCGTCATTGATTGCTTGAATTTTTTTAGTGACAAATTTTGTCCCTGATTGCTTTTATTTTGGAATGGTAAATTACATTCCTGATTGTTTGTATTTTATGATGATATATTTCATTCATAAGTGCCTTTATTTTTTGAACAATAGATTTTTTCCATGATTGCTTTTATTTTGTCACCAAAAATATTATCAGTCTTACATTTCATCTCTAATATTATTTGTATCCGTAATAAATCAAATAAATAAACAAAATCATTGATACAAACTAAATATACTATTACGCGAAATGAAATTCCATAACATTGTCTAATAAATATGTAACATAGGCTATTAACATAACCTCTAAGAAAAAGTTCAAAACGGAACTAAGCTATTCAAGTAACTAGATATTGTACTCCTAAAAACTCTTCTCTCACCAGCTTGCAGTATAATCCTATGATTAAAATCATGGCCAATTACGAAAAATCCATGAGCACCCGTGCAATCGATTACCCTAGATTAAAAATCTCAAAAGCCATAAAATAGGATTGATTACTAAAACTCAGAGAACCATATACCTCTGACATTTCATTTCCTCTTTCTCTACAGTCCACATACACAATAGAATCAGAGTTAAAGTACTGCACAAAAAAAAAGAAAAAAAAGAACATAGTTAATGAATCAACCAAACAACCCCATCATCATAACCAACAGAGTAAACTCCACAAGGAATTGACAAGTTTCACCTTAGAAAGAGAGGGGAAAAGGGCATCAAGTACACGCTAAAACAAAACAAAGTCATTGAAAAGTCATATTACTAAAATAGAGAACAATAGATGAGAAAAACAATGCCTTAGGCAAGTACATGCCCAGTAAGTAGAGGGGTATCGACAGCAAGCTTTGTTGCGACAGATCTTGGAGTATGTACTGTCCAAGTCTGCATATACAAGAAGCAAATAGCAAATTAAAATTTTTCTAGCTCTGAATACAACCATTTTGATCCATTGAAAGTTTGTTTACAGGTTATAAAGCTGTATGGTAAATTGCTTTTTGACACCCTGGAACTCAATCTTTAGCACAGTGTCCTACAAAAACAGAAGTCAAATGTACATTTCTCCATAAGCAATGTCAATGCGTAGTTCTGAAGTTATAGAGAATTCATATAAATACAAAATCTCAACCAAATGGTAACTATAAACCAAAGAGACTGGAGAATAATATTGATTGTATTTGTATCCAAGTTCAGATCATTTTTGGTGTTTCCCAAGTTCAGCATACATAAAAACTCATGTAACTCGATATCAATGTTATATGTACATGCAGATACATGCCATTCAATAAAAAAGTGGAAAGCAGATGCATTATTGTGTAATAATCATTTTAATGTGGCCAAAAAGAGAAAGAGATGAACCTTCAATGAATATTGACCAGGAGGTGCAATATCGGTGATCTTCCCCAAAGCATCAGGAGGAAGAGTAACATGATGCTGCATTAGAGTGTTCTCGAATACGGTCTGTATTGGAAAATATCCACATAAAATCCTAATGTTAAACTCCATAGAAATGAATAAATTAATGATAAACAAATAAAGACGTTCAAATTACACTTTTTTTTTAAAAAGCCTATAATTCAAAATGTGCAAGTAAAGAACTTAGAACATACAAATCTCCATCAGTTACAAGATCTCCCTCACTTGCGAACATTTAGTATAACTAAAGTTAGTGGAATCCTACTAGAGAAATTGAAGGAATAACCATATTCACTTGTCAACAACTTTCGAACCATTACGTATTTTGTTAGGCTAAAATTCCCAGAGTGTGTCTTTGTCAAGGGCAAGAATAGAGACTCCATGACAAAAATAGACATCATCAGATATTCTTGCAATCGTTTTCAAAGGCCCTTGTTTAATGGTTTTCAAAGGCCTCTGTTTTGATAACAAAACATAGGTGGATGGTTGACCACTAAATATTGCTAGTGAGAGTGCAAAGCATAAACTTTCGATTTTTTTTTTTTTTTATAAAAAAAGTTATTAAGTAGAGCAAAGCATACATTTATAAGGCTTCTGAAAAAGGTTTCTAATTAATAAAAAAGTTATGTAATTCCAATTACTAACTGAATTGGCAAAATTCCTTGTTCCAGCTCGACAGATAGTGGCTAGAAAATCAAAATACAATCCATATCTCCATCAGCATACTACCGCCCCCCCATAACTATTGCAAGCCTCCCCCAAACTGTCATACCCTTATTGCCAGCCTCAACCATATCTGCACACCCAAACTGCGCAGCTACCATATTGTTGCAACTTCAGCTTCTCTCTCTTCCCTAGGTCAACAAGCTACCCCCTCCCCTTTTTGCACAGTCACAACCAGCAGCAACTTGCATAAACAGCATCCTACAACAACCACAAATAGTCACCCTACTGCTAATCCAAACACACACCATATCCTGTGAAAAATCCCACACCATCATGGTAGGGAACCAACCCAAATTGACGGTATATTTAAAAACTTCACAGATTCTATGAACATCTATGTGCTAAGGTGAAATTTATATCTATGCTACACAAATTCCTTTTTTGACACAACTAAACCCCTATAGAAAATATCATAAGGTGAATCAAATTAAGAATATTCAAAGGAAAACTCACTGCTATAGAACTGAACCTTATTCTTGAGTTTACGGTCTACTTTAGATGCAACATCTAAGGGTGTTCGGTCCGTAATTCGGTTCGGTTTTGAACTTTTTTGATCGATTTTTGGTTAACCGAATTGTCTAAAAAATAACCGAAACCGAACCGAATTATTATTCGGTTTTTCGGTTCGGTTTTGAAATATATCGATTTTTTTATTCGGTAATTCGGTTTTCACCTATAATTATCTATACTTTTGATTTTTGAAAGGATCATGCACTTTCGAAAAAATAAATTTAGTATTTGCATTGCGATTTTAGGCTATGTTCCTATATGTGTTTACTAAAAAGAGACATACTAATTATTATCGTGGTCCATAAATTAACTAGTTTTCTTTCACATAGAAAAAAAAAACACTATCTCACATCTTTTTTTTTTAAACTATAAATTGAATTAAGAAAGAAATTATGTACCTCCTTGGGCAATTATAAACAAGAATTGGTTATGGTCATTTGGCGTTGAGCCGGTTGGCTCATGTAATCAATGCAACAAGAATTGGTTATGGGCTAATTGATTTAACTCCAATTAGCTTAGGTTTGCATGAAGGTGAGGTGAGGTCGTGAGGATTAGAATGTACGACGTCGTTCATCGATGAATTTTTTTTAAAAAATTTAATAATTTTGGTTATTCGGTTTTAACCAAATTAAAAAAAAAATCGAAACCGAAATCGAAAATCGGCTATATTTCGGTTCGATTTTTTTTTTAGTTTCTAAAAACAAACCGCATCGAAATTGATATTTCAATACGGTTCGGTTCGGTTATTCGGTTTTCACCGAATAGTGAACACCCTAAGTAACATCTTGTCCGTAACCATAAAATAAATAAAAAAATCGAAAGAAGAGAAAATATTAATTAATCATAACTTAATTGACAAATCAAAGAAACAAAAAGGAACTTATGACAAATGGGAAGACTTTTTTCTTTTTCTTTTTTTTTTGCATTAGTGTACCTTGACTTTCCCATGATTGAAGATTCTAAATTCTAATTGGAATTTTGTTAAAGAAATTGTAGGCATGCTTTTGAAAGCAAATAAACTCTAGGGTTTTATCGGTTTAGTCGTTAAATTATAAGAGGAATAAAATTTATAGATAGGGAGAAGGAGAACTATAAATTATAATGCCGTTCCCGTGGTTTCAATCGAAACAAATTTCGGGAAGGAGAATAAGAGAGGAGAGTGAGATCAAGGGAAAAAAGACGAGAGAGAGGGAAGGAAGAATGAGGGAAGAAGAAGAAATAGAGGGACGAACGAGTTCGTCCATGGAGATGAGAGAGAGAGAGAGAGAGAGAGAGAGAGAGAGAGAGAGAGAGAGAGAGAGAGGGAAGAAGAAGAGAGAAGGGAGAGGAACAAAGAGAATGAAATCGAGAGAGAAGATGAAACAAAAGAGAAGGAGGGAGTTTAATCCAAAAAAATTTGGGGGAATTGATTTTGGGTGTTTTCGACCTTAAGGACCACCCAAATAAGGGACTATGGTCGAGCTGATCCAGCCCAAAAATTAAAATAAAAAAATTAATTAATTCATGCTTAATCATTTAGGATGACTTAATTTCGTCCCTAATTTATATTTAATCATATGGGACGAATTGTTTTTTTTCCCTAACTAATATTTAACCATGTGCAACGATTTGACTTCTTCCTTAAATAAGTTTAAATTTTAAGACGTATAATTTCGTCCTAAAATAATTTTTTTTCACAAGAGGTGGGTGCAAAAAGTCGGGCGTGAGGTGAAAAAATTAGGGTTAGTGATTTGGGGACAAAATATGTATTTCCTCAAGAAATATTCGTATTTTTGGATGAAAATGAATTCGTAGGCAAAAATTTCATAGCTGAATTGAAAATTTATTATAGGTTTTTTATTTTTTATTTTTCATGTTTTGAGAGTTTTCTATGTTTTTTCATATTTTTTTAAAATTTCTTAAAGTTAATTTTTTTTAGGAATTTAAAATTTAATTTTCTTTTAGTGGTTGTAGGGCATTTTCATCTAAAAAAATGATAAAAGGGCATAAGGAAAAACAAATATGAATCTATAAGAGTCCGTAAGAGTGAAAAATTCTTAAAAAGGTATATAAAAAACAAGCTCAAGATATAAGAATAGATAGCTAAATTCAGCCCGTAAATTATATAATATGACGTTTTTTTTTTGTTCACGGAATGCCTAAGGAGCAATGGGGTTATGACAATTGATAATCATACTTCATCAATTTATAACAATTCAAATATGTTAATATCTAAATTGTTATGAAATAATGAATGTTTATGACCATGTTTATTTCCACTACTAATCATATTGTTTAATAGGGTTCAATTCACCATTATCATGTATGATGACATAAGAATTATATGCTCACCCTTTTATGAACTTTTTCCAACCCTTTTCAATTCTCTTCCTAATCCTAAAACCTATTAATATGATTGATTGTTTATTAGTTGAGTGATATGTTTTATAGAGATTGAAAGAATTGTTTGAATTTTTTTATCATTTATATTCATTTTATTTTATAGAGAAATCATTTTTTCATAATTTTTGTCTCCAATTCTATTATTGTTATAATTTTTTTATAACATATTATCGCATGAAACTCTAACCAACCGAGATAATAGGTTATGAGGTATTATCTATCAAAAGCTCAATTATTGGATTTTTTTTATATACAAGTGTTCTATCAAATGATCTAAATTATCTAGATCATTAAGAGATATGTATCTAATTTATTATTGACTTTAAATCTAATTAAATATAGAGTATTCGTTTGAAAAATTTGAATGATTTAATATATAGAATATAATGATCTAATATATGTTGTTTGAAAAATTTAAATTTTATTATTATGCTTGTTCTTATTTTCTAATATTATTATTATACTTTTCATTATAGAACTTTTATCATATCAAACCTCATAAAACTTGATTTTGTGGCTCTTGGCATTTTAAGCAAGAATTATTGCTCATGGATGCTTAATGTTGAGAAAACATTCTCTACTTTTCATGTCTCGAATATGCTCTAGTAGTAGCAATATCGAGATTTTTTTTTTTAAAAATAGTTTGAATTGATTTTATGCTTGCTTGTGGTCGAGCAAAATAACGAGTTATTGCTGAAATATCATGAATCTCACCCAATTGGATCTATTCCATTTTTTGAAGTGAATGTGACAACTTAAAATAATTTTGGGCATGGACGAAGATGTGGACATAACTATTGTCATGTTGGAATAATTATCTTTATAATCATGATAATTATAATAATACACCACCAAAGGTGGATATATATATATATATATATATATATATATATATATATATATATATATATATATAAGAAAAAAAAAGATCAAGTCAGCATTATGAAAATGAATGTTATAAATGTGGTATGAAGAGAAATTAGTCATGTACTTATTATATGCTAAAGCACCTCATTGAGTCTTATCAAACCTTGCTAAAAAAAGAGAGTAAAATATACATGCTAATTTTATATATCAAAATGATGGTAATTAAAATTATTAACTTGTTAGATTTTCTATTTATAAATAACATGTTTTATATTTTTTTATAATTTCCATTACATAGTGATAGTTACGAAATTATTTTATTTCTTTGTTTTGTGTTTATTTAATTATTTATTTTGTGTAATATTATATATGATAGTATCAATCTAATAGAAAGTTTCAAAATAGCAACTACATTATTACTCGAAGAGATAAATTTTGAAGGCTTTAGAATAACGAATATATTATTACTTGAAGAGATAAAATTTAAAAGCTCTAGAAGAGCAAATATATTATTACTTAAAAGGAAAAATTTTGTTATAAATAATGCACTATTCTCTTTAAAGTCTCGTAGAAATTTACCGAGTTTCAAAGATATTCATCTAAATGGATATCATATTAAGACAACAAATGTAGAAAATATTGAATACTTACATATTTTAATTATTACATAGGGTATAAAAGATGTATTAAAGAAATTATTTGTTTTTCTCTTCTCGGTCTTTATTATAAATATTCAAATAATTGAAACAAATGCTATAGTAAACTAGAAGTTTACTAATTTAAATATTTTTATTATATGGCATGATTGGTTAGGCTATCCTAAGTCTTTCATGAAGTGAAAAATTATTGAAAATTCATATGGACATCCATTGAAGAGCAAGAAAATTATTCATTATAATGAACTTTTCATGTTTTTTATGTTCTCAAGGCAAACCGATTATTAAGTCATCGCCAAGTAAAATTAAGATTGAATCTTTAGTGTTTTTAGAACATATTCAAGATGATAAATGTGGATCAATTCATCCATCACATGAATTCTTTAGATATTTTATGATGTTAATAGATGCATCCATAAGATGATTATATGTATGTTTATTATCTACTCGAAATCTAGCATTTTTAACGTTGCTAGCTTAAATAATTTGATTGCGAGCATAATTTTTAAGATTATGCCATTAAACAATTCACCTTGATAATACCGGTGAATTTATCTCTCAAGCACTAAATGATTATTGATTGGTTATAAGAATAAAAGTTGAACAACTTGTTGTTCATGTTCATACTCATAAAGGTTTATGAGAATCATTTATTGAAAGACTCTAAATGATAGCTAAATCATTACTTATGAAAACAAAACTCCCCGCTTATGTTTAGAGACATGTAATCTTACATGTAGTAACACTTATTTTCATCGGATCTATAAGTTATTAGAAATTCTCCCCTCTTAAATTGGTTTCGATCATGAACTAAATTTTTCTCATCTAAGAGTTTTTAATTGTGTAGCATATGTCTCTATTGCTCATCCACAATGAACTAAAATGGACCCTTAAAGAAGATTGGAAACATATATTAGTAAGGTTTTAACAAGATATGTTTATTTTACGATGGACATTTAAGAGGGAATGTTGTGAAATAATGAATGTCCATGACTATTCTTATTTCTACTACTAATCATATTGTTTAATAATATTCAATTCATCATTATTATGTGTGATGACACAAGAATTGAAAGGTTGGTGCAATCTTTCATGACTTTTTCTAGCCCTTTTCAATTCTCTTCCAATCCTAAAACCTATAAATAGGATTGATTGTTCATTAGTTGAGTCATAGGTTTTGTAGAGATAATGAATGTCAATGACCATTCATATTCCCACTACTAATCATATTGTTTAATGAGATTTAATTCACCATTATCATGTATGACGACATAAGAATTTAAAGGTTGGTGCAACCTTTCATGACTTTTTCTAGTTTTTTTTTTTTTTTTTTTTCAATCCTAAAACCTATAAATAGGTTAGTTAAGTGATATATTTTGTAAAGATTGAGAGAATTGTTTAGAATTCATATCACTTGTATTCACTTTATTTTACAATGAAATCATTTCTCAATCATTTTTCTCTTCAATTCTATTATTATTATCCTTTCTTTTTCAACATAAATGCAGTTGTTTCACTAATCATTATAAATTGATGGTGTGTCATGATGATAATCACCCCGTGGGCTATCCTCGGAAAAGTTATCTTTATCAGTCTCAAATAGGCATTTGATTCTCATCTTCTCTGTTGGTTTGAACCCGAACTTTTCTAGAAATATATGATAAGAGCATTAAATGAACCCAAGATTCTAAGATGAGATACATGCAATAACTTTGTAACATACATCACTTGTCAAATTTCCAAAATTCAGTGGAAAAGGTTCAGAAGAAACTATGTAAAATTATCTTCTTATCTTTTCCCACCAACTAAATCTAAGTTTTAGTCACTCATGAAATTCTAATTAAGGAGGCATATATATATATATGAAGCCAAGAGTGATCTATATTTTGAACACAACTTAGATTAGGTCATGACAGTTAACTACCTTCTCCACAAAAGTAGCTTATCTGTTAAAAAATCAGCCAAGTCTTTTATTTTCTCCTCTTCACATGCCTATTTTGTTGTTCTTCTTTCCATTTATTTCAGTCCATAAAACACCCTTAACATTATCAAACTTCAAACCAATCTCTTACACTTTGAGGGGACTGTGTGTGCGTGCATGGAAGAGAGAAATGGAAGATGAAAACCATAAAAATGGAACAGATGGCCACAGTGGAGAAAGCCCAGAAAGTCAATATTGTTTAAAGAGTTGCAGCAGCAGCAACAATCACAGCAACAGTAAAGAGCAAGATCACTTCCTTCCTATAGCAAATGTTGGCAGAATTATGAAAAAAGTGATTCCAGGCAATGGGAAAATATCGAAAGATGCGAAAGAAACAGTTCAAGAATGCGTGTCCGAGTTCATCAGTTTTGTCACCGGAGAAGCATCTGATAAATGTCAAAGAGAGAAGAGAAAGACTATTAATGGTGATGATATTATTTGGGCTATCACAACCCTAGGGTTTGAAGACTATGTTGCTCCACTTAAATTGTATCTCAGCAAATATAGAGATCTGGAAGGAGAGAAGCTTAATGTTCCAAAGCAACAAAGAATGGAACAACAAAGGATACAACAACATCATCAACAAGAACAAGAACAAAATATGATACCACCTTACGCTAGTGTATATTCTTCCTCAGCTCTTGTATCTCAGCCACTATCTTTTGTCACAGCTGATCATCAACCATTTCCTTTGCCTTTCTCTCCTAATTCCATCCAAAGACATTTGCAACTCCAGGACAAAATCGATCCTGTCGAGCATTGGTAAGTGAGAGAGAATTTATAGAAATTGAAAACATTGAATTTTTGTTCTGCTACACATATTTGAATATATTTTGATGTAGTGATATTGAAGAACTTGGCTTTTGCGCCTACTCCCTTAAGAAAAAAAAAAGATAGTTTATTTATTTTGCAATGATGCAAATAACATGAACACAATTAATTACAGAAAATTGTTCAACAATGTTTGTTCTACTAGTGATCATACATTAGTGTCTTTAGTTAAAAACCAAAAATTTCAAAATCTAATTATTTAATTTTTTAATCCATTTTATGCTCTTTTTTAATTTGTTTGTTTTTTATTTTGAAAAAATAAGATATTATAGAAAGATTAATGAAAAAAGGAAAACTTTTTTTGAAATAAAATAATATTAAATTAAGAGGGGTCAACATTAGTCAAATGACTAGATAATTAATCTTTAAAATAAAGAAAACTAATTAATACTTTCTCAAAACTAGGAGTACTAATTTATAATTTACTCACAATTAAAGGCATTATTTTAATGGGCTATTCCCATTCCTTCTATTGTCATTTGCATCCATAGTTTTTATGGATTGTCTAAAGTTTGAACTAATACTCTTTATATTTCTCTTAACATCTGAACCTATCAGATAAAAAAAAGGTAAACATTTATTTATTTTCGCTTTGACCGCATTCAAAGAAAAACGGCATTTTTTTTTTTTTTTAAAAATTCTGCCTGTTTAGAGAGTACACTTCTTGTTACTATTATTATTTAGATAAACTTTAATTTATCTCTATGAGATCAATGTATTTTCTTAATTTTGATCTAAAATCTTTTATTTATTTTAATCAGTTCTCACATTTATTATTTTTGTTACAATTAGCTCTTATATTTTTCACTTTTGTTCTAATTTTTCCCCGCCTCTCATTTTTAACAAGTGTATAAATTTTAATTTTATCTCTGAATGTTATAAAGTATCTCAATATCATATGAAAAATAAAACATAAACTAATTAAAATTAAAAAAAATAAAAAAAATATTTTTTTTTATTAAAATAAATGTGATAAAACTTGAGAGGGCTATTTTTTCAAGAAATACTCAAATCCTACCAACTTCAATTTTGACTTAGTAGTATTTCTTTGTCAATACCGTATTAAATAAAAATCAAGATTCAAAATAATTAACTCTATTTATTTATTTTTTTGTTAAAATCTCCACCATTCTTATTTCTCTCATGTTTTCTTATTTATTTGATATTGTCATCATATAGCACTTTCGATATGTTCAAATAATCGCACTCTAGATGATCTTAAAATTGTTTTATACTCAAGCTATCATTCCATTTACATGGAATTTCAATTTTTTTTTTCAAGGATCATTGTTCAAGTTTTCTAATAAAAAAATTGAATAAAAAAAAATTGATATAATATACTAGTGAGAAAATATATGAGAGATAAGGATAGTACTAGTTGATACTTTTTATTAAAAAATATTTTTTTATCATAAGCTTTTTTAACTTAATTTATTTTTGTATTGTCAAAAGACGGTTATATAGTATTGATGAGATTTTTTTATCCTATTTGTTTAATTGAAAAAATATATCTTCTCTAATGATTTGTTCAGTTTCAATTTTCTCATTCTTACTTTTTGGATTATATTAAAGTATTTCATAAATTTTGAAGATGAAATTGAAATTTGTAAAGAGTGAAGCAAAAATAAAAATACACGGTATAATTGAAACAAATAAAATTAAGAAAACATATAAATCTCATAAGGACAAATTGAAAATTATCCTTATTATTTCTTTTATGGTTTTAATGATAAAGATATATTCAAGTAAAATTTTTTATATTGAGAAAAATTTCTTCGATCTCTATGTTTGAAAGAAAACCTATTTAGAATGATAAGCAAAATTATACATGGGAATAAGAAGGTGACTTTTAACAGAAAAATTTCCATTAGAAGTTAATTTTCATATATCACTATCTTCAATTTTTACATTTGGATAAACAAAACATAGAGCCTGGTGCCATGGATCCCAAGAAGAAAGTAGATTTTTCATTACAATGATGCTGATCAAATCCCAATAATAAGAGCTCTAATCTTAAAAAATTTTCTGTGTGTGGGCACTGTATTAATGTTTGCATCAAGCTGGCCATATGAATTTTCAAATTAAATTATCAGTATCCATAAATAAGCCGGTTAGGTCTGTCCTTCCTAACTGATCTTGATGATGCATTCCTCTTATTATAGGGAAAGAAATAAGAAGCATTGAAGGATCCCGGCTTCTCATTAAAGTATAAATTTGGTCATATTTCTTGAGTATCAATATAATACAAAACAATACGCAAAAGGATTGAGTTGAACAAAAGAAGCTTTAGTCACTTAAATAAGTAGTCTTAGATTTAAATTCTTATGTACGCAGAAAACTCAATGAGTAGTTGTGTCTATTTTGTATGTTTAACATAATAACGAGATATTAGTTTGAATTTTTGAAATTGAGATACTCCGGTGATATATATATATACACACACACACACCATGTGTGTTGGATGTTAATGTTGCTTTAGTATTATAAACATGAATTAGGGCTTTTAGCTAAATGGAAGGCATTGGGAAACCTCCCAGATAGTTCACAGCTAGTTTTGACACAGCCATGAGTTGCTGTTGGTTGGCAGTTTCAAAAATATTTAAAATGGAAACTATTATAAATAAGCATCATCCGAAGCCACATTTCTCAGAACACAATAACAAAGTCAGTTTTTCATTATCATCGTAATCCCATTAATTTGATCATCGTCATCAAAATAATGAATCCTACAAGTCGGGCCTCATGCCTTTATTTTCTTTTATTTCATTTCATTCTAGATAATTATTCTCATGCTGCATCTAACATCATATAGCGTTAAAGGTTAAAATTATAGAACTGACAAGAAACCTTACCCACAAGTTTAGTTAGGAAGAAGAGATCAAGAAATACCAAGTATTTTAAGTCTAAATACAAGTTTAATTGCATGGACATGCATGATTCATTAATTTTCTTTAGACTAGAAATTAATTAAAAAGGGATTATAATTTCTTATCATCTATTATTTATCTTTTAAATGTTTAACATCAACTGCAGCTCAAACTTTCGGATTACCATTTCTTCCACCATATTTGAGTTTGAACAAATCAGAGAGCATTCAATATGGGGCCAACTATGCATCTTCTGGTTGTGGCATTCTTCCTAAAACATACAAATATGTCTATGTGAGTACTATATATTTATATATAACTTGAACTTATAGATCACATTTTTAAGTTCACACACAATTTGAATAAATCTTTTGGAGTCAATTTGGTGCCTAGTTAATTTATACTTGCAAAAATTCATAATTTTTTTATATTACTTTTAGGGACCTTGCATGGATTTGTATAAACAAATCAAATTGTTTGAGAGTTCCTGGAAGAATTTAAGAACTTCTAGTGACTTGTCAAAATCTCTTATGTTTGTATATATGGGACAAAATGACTGGACCTCAACGAAAAATTAAGAAAAAATGATTCTCTCGATGCGGGAAAATATGTGGCCAAACCATTATCTAAATGACTACAGGTAAATATATCCCATTATCATATATGATCATAAAATTGGATGATATTAGATAAGACAATTTTGATAACAAAAAATTAGCTAGACATAAAAAAACTATGCACTAATAATTGATTTCTTTGGTTGGATATATATGTAGAGACTCTATGATCTTGTGGACGCATATTCTTAGTGAGCAATTCCCTTCCATTAGGATGTAGACCAAGCTCGATAAAACAACACAATCCTAAAACGCCTTGTTTAGAAGGATTGAACAAGCTGGCGTCCCAATATAATAGCAACCTTCCTCAGATATCTCAAGTGTAAGTGAGAATTTTGATTTAAAAGATTTGTTTCTAATACAAGCATGAAAGAAGGCTGAGTTACGGTTACCTAGTTTCAGCCACTTAACTCTTGATTTCTCCTCGAACAATTGTTCCTCTCGATTTATAAGAATTGTCAAAGTATCCTTGGCAGTAATAGTTTTTGAAAAATTCTTTTGAGTCCACTGCATCAGTAACATACTTTTTGCATGAATAACTTCATCCCTTACACGGTCTAACTGATGATGTATATCCCCAAACACATTCCAATTTCAAGCCTTTAATTCCTTTCGCAGAGCTTTAAGCTTTAGCTGGAGGTTGAGGAAAGTAGAGTTGCTATAGGCAGATTGCCAGTGGGACTCAACAAATGGGAGGAAATCTTCATGGGATGTCCACGATTTTTTGAATGAAAAATGGCCTGACATTTTATTACTCCTAGCTTCAGTGAGTAATAATGGGCAATGGTCTGAGCGCATACGAGCTAAATGCCCAAATTGCAGCTTTGGCAGACTTGAAAAAGCTGTGGTGTTGATAAATACCCCGCCTATCGTTACCCGATGTCGACGAGACTCAAAAAAAAAAAAAAAATTCCAATTTATAGACTTTGGAGTCGCCATCTAGTATTAAAGAACTAGGAATCTCAAAGAAACACCTGGTTCGGAGATTCTATGATAAGGAGTTGGTTACACCTCTAGAAAGATAGTTAATAATCCAAAAGTGCCTTTTTCGAAAAAGATACCATGTATGGTTTAGTTCTAAATTCATCTCCTAAAATGTTTTATTTATGTCAAATTATTTTCTGATTTTTAAACTCATATTTTTTTAAGGGCAAATTGAATATTTTAGTTTTGAGTGTGATATCGTATTGAAACGATCGTCGGTCCCCTTCATCGGGCGACACGTTGGTTCAAACATCGGATCCACTTTAAGCCTTGATACAACCGATATATCGAAGGATGTCCCGATTAAATGATGATTTTTGGTGATGTCAATCCCTATCAAATAGGAGACTTCATCGAAAATTTTAGATATATATTTTTTGGTGATGTTAGTCCCTATCGAGCGAGAGACTACGTTGAAATTTTTTTATTATTTTTATTTGTTGTCGATAGAGAATCGTCATCGGTTCCTAAACATTAGGAGATTCGATGATTACCTATCCCTTAATTATCTAAACTAATTATGAAATTAAAAAAATTAAAATTTTAATTAACTAAAATCAACTAAAATAAATTTTAAAAAAATTAAATATATTGAAATCATCGTCCGTCCCTAATAAATAGGAGACTCGTTGATCCAAATTTTCATCATATAAAAAAATCACACATTAAAATAAATTTCACATCTAAGTATCTCTAGATTTTCTTAACATACATAAGGCTAAAAAATATTACAAAATCCACAAAAAAAAAAAAAAACTAAATAGTCCAAAAATTCACCTATACTAAAAAATTACAAAAATGCCCATGGAATGCTAAGAGTCACCGCTAAGTGACCTTTCATCTTTCGATGATCGTTCGTGCGCATGGACCACCCTACCTTGTAGATTAGATCGTTGCGAATCCAACGGTTATGGTATCGATCGGAGACGACGTCGGAGGAGGGAGATCGAGCCTCTAAAGATTCGGTTGGATCTCCCTTTCTCACCGGTGATGATTCCGACCCCTTTTCGGGATTCCAAGCATACCGGTCAACCGGTGAGGTCAAGAGAAGGATTTCGTGGTGGTTAGGACCTCCAATTCCTTTTAGATCGGCTAATATTTTTGGGTTTATCAAAACGGGTCCGAAACGAGTTTGCGTTCACTTAGACCATTTTCGAGTGACATTTGGCCGTGATATTAAGTAGGAAATGTTCATGGGGGCTAGCCGACCAAGTCCGTTAAAGTGGAACTTGGAGATTCGCTCGAAATTGGGAGATAGGACTAGATCTTTTGTGGGTCGGATCGTGGTGGTTTAAGCTTCGATTTCTTTCACCTCCATGATTGGTTGTCTCTCTAACCGGTATGAATCGATCGATCTACCGATTATACACACATGGGTGTGGTTGTTGGGCTTAAAAATGATCGGAAATCAATCAATTTTGGGGCACAATCTTCAGCTGGGTAAACGGGTCAATGGGTTTGGATATTGGGTTAAGGCGTGTTTGGCAACCTTTATTCCAGTTTTCAATATATTTTTTTTCGCGTATGTGTTTTTTTTTGGCTCTTTGGTTGCATTTTTTGTGTCCCCCATAAAGCGAGAATCCGAAAACTTTTTATAGATCGAAACCTCCTAAAATCTTTCCTAAAATCAGCCCATTCAAATTCAAATTCTAACTCGTCAAACTTTAATTTTGGGATTTGATTAGCTAAAAATAAGAAGATTCAGATTCAAAAAAGATTAGTGGAGGATTTCGACGGATCTTCAAATGATTTTAGGGAGATTCGGTATTTTTTATATTTTTTTCCTTTTCCGTATTTTATTATTTTGTATTTTTTTTTAATTTTTCAAGGAACCCCAAAATTGGACTATGAAATTATCCAAATGTTTTCATATTCTCGCCAAACCTTGTTGGTTGTTGAGTCGAATTATTATCATTTTAGATTAAAATATATCTAAATTTGATTTATTTAATAAACGTATTCGATTAATAATTGAATTCAATTAAAAAAATTTATTTACAAGATTCATTTAATTACATCGGAGTCAAGTTAAATTCAGGATAAAATCTGATCTATTTAGAGTCCTACTTTTTAGTTTATGTGTTAGATAGTATATTTATAGTGTGCACCTAGGTTGGTTTTAGGTTTTTCTCCTTTGATTGTTTTTTTTTTTTTACACGGGTTTGGACTTGGGTTGGCAGACCCATGCTGAGTGCATTTAGGCTTGGTGCGCAGCCTGGGCTATCAAGCCAGGCCCTTTTATTTCTGATTTCCCCCCTTTTTTTTTTTTTTTTTTTTTTTTTTTTTTTGGTTTTTCAAGAGGAGAAGAATGAGATGATGAGAATATATGTGACAGTGAGCTTGGAAGAAGCAGTGAAAATCGTCAGATTATCAGCGAAGCAAAGATGTGTGAGAGCAACTATTTGGCTCTTGGGATGATAAGAGAGAGCACCATTTTCAGGGGCATAATTCAAAAGAAAGGACAAAACCTGCATTAATACGATCGCAAACAAATAGGGAGACAGGGGATCTTCCTGTCTTCAATTATTTTTTATGAAAAATAGCCAGACAACCCTCCATTCATATTGATAGAAAATGTTGAGGAAGTTACCCAAACTCTAATCCAATCAACAAAATTAAGGGAAAGCAGCATGGTTGTCAAGACATCGAATAAGTAACCGCAACGTACTGAGTCAAAAGCCTTCATAAGATGAAATTTAAAAGTGCAACTAGGAGGAACTTTAGCTCTATGATAGCCCTTAACTATCTCCAACTTAGTCCAACCAAAGAGCTTGTAGCCCAGTGGTGATTATCTCTTGTAATAAGAGTTCATAGGTTTAAATCCTAAGAGCATTAGATGTGTGAGTTAAAATAAATAAATAAATCAAATAACATAGTCCACTATTCGTCAACCATGCACAAAAGCAGTTTGATTTAAGCTAATCAGAGATGGTAAGCAACACCTCAACTTATTGGCTAAGACCTTTGAAATACATTTGTAGATAGTTAAGCAGCAGGAAATAAGTCTAAAATCTGAAACTTTTGAGGCATGGAGTATTTTAGGCACCAAAGTAACGGTTGTAATCATCTAGCCATGATTTAAAAAAAAAATTCAAAATTGCTTACGTAACTTCATCACTAACAACACTCCAAGCTTTATTAAAGAACTCAACTTTATAACCATCAGGCTTAGGGGCTTTTTCACCATTAAGAGAGAAAACAACAGTTTTGACTTCTTCTGATCAAGTGATAGGAAAAATCAAAACCAGTTGTTGATCAGTTGAAAGCTTGTGCTTATATAAGGAGGCTAGCTAAATAGTCAATAGATCCACCATTAACAGCATCATCTTTATTGACAAATAAATTAGAGTAGAAATTAATGATCTCCATTTGGATGTCTTTCAAAGAAGTTAATTGATTCCCATCTGCAGATACAAGCGAAGAAATATTGTTATTTGATCTTCTATCTCTAATTAAAATGTGAAAGTACCTTGTGTTTAGATCATCTTCATGAACCCTAGGGGCTCTTGATTTTTATTTAGAAAAAGATTCCTCAACATTGGTGTTAGTAGCAAGAAGAGAGGATAAAAATTTCTCATTAGCTACATGTTGGCTTGTATTAACTAAGGCGGCTTGAACAATATGAAGTTTATGATAAACTGAGAGTGGGCTTGCAGAACTTGCACACTCCAAAAGAACTTCTCCATAGAATCCAAATTCGTCTATGATCAGAGAAAACATAGTTATGACAGTGATTCCATCCCAGAAAACAATCAGCAATAGCCTCACACTATCTTGCTTAACTATAGTTTCAACAAAGTATAACACATGACTTTGACGAAGTGAGCAAAGTCTCCTTACCTCACTTTGTTTGAGGGCTTGATTGAACCCTCTTATATTCCATGCAAGGACATTAACCATTTGGAGGCTTGGGATTCTGCACTCCAACCCCCTTGCTAGTAGAGGGACTGTTGTTGCCATTATTTTTCTTTTCTGTTCCTCCATTCCTCTGCTTTGGATTTAATTGTTCCACAATACCGATAACACTACTAGAAGCTTGCCGGACTCCTCTAGTAGATTTAGGACTATCCTCCTTCCTTTTAACAATAGAATCCTGAGATGAAGAATTGGTGACCAACATCCTTCAAAACTTCAGCAACACTCTCCTCTCTCTCCCGGACAGTTTGATCAATCGCAGAAACCTCTTTATCCAAATCATGTACCCTTTTCTCCCCACAACAAAGTAGATCTGGGATACTGAGGACATCAAACGGATTGTAAGCAAGAGAAGAACCATCTTCCTCAACATTTTGCTTTGAATCAGAAACATCATTAGATGAAGCTGGCTTAGGAATCCATTTTTTCTTGATTTTCTTTATAGGAGGGACATCATCAGGGAACACATCTGTTTGAGGTTGTACATTTGAACAGTTGCTATGCTCATGCCCTAATTTGTAGCAGATATCACAACAGGCTGGCTGCCATGTATACTGAACATCAAAAGGGAGCAAAACCCCTTCAACAACCACTTTAACAGTTTTAGGCAAATTCCTGGGCAAATCCACTTCCACACAAAAACTTCTACATAAGATAAGTGCTTGAATAGTTGCATTGCTCTTTCCATGTACAAAGGCATCCCAACAACGCTAGTAATATAGCTTATCCCCTCCTCATTAAGCAATCCAAGTGGAACACCCCACAAATGAATCCAAATAGGTACAACCCTATTGTCAAAATCCAGTTCTGCAAATCAGGCTCCCATTTCCTCAACGATAGTAGAGCATTATTAACATGCCATAAGCCTTTTTCCAATATCCATAACAGTGAATTTTCATTAGGAAAACGGAATAAGAACATACCTCTTTCAAAGATTACTTCAATGCAACCATCACGCCCCTATAAGCAAATCCCCACTGCTGAAATCGCATTTAGTTTTGGGCTTTTACCCATAAACTGATCCACTAAGCAATAGCCCCAATATCTAGCACCATTATCAACAGCCTGTTTAGGGATCTTAGCAGACAGGTGACCATTAGCAGGGACAGGAGAGATGTCGGTTAGATTGTTGTTGACTTGCTAACGATTTTTAACGGTTGCAAATTTTGTCAACATTCTGTTGCCATTTGATAATTTCACCTTTTTAGTATCAAATTAACGATTTTTAGACCGCAAATTATTAGTTTTGGATAAAATTAATCTAATTTTTTCTAATTATCATTATATATAATAGTAAGCTGAATTGACCTGTTATTTAGAATGTTAAAACAACATCATTTTAACACTCTATAATTAATTATGTTTTTTGTTTTAAAAAAATTACAAAATATTTTTAATATTTCTAATTTGAACTTTTTTAAAAACTTTTTGTCTTAAAAAATAATATAAACATTTTATACATTGTATAAAAAATACTTTATAAATATTTTTAACCGCCTAATTTTAAAATTTTTTTAATTTTTTTTTATAAAATAGTATAAATATTAAAAAGTGATTTTTTTTATATAATTTGTAAAATTAGGGGGTCAACCTTCAATTATGCTCATTTTAATTTATAATTTTTTTTTAACATCTTGAAATTGTGTATTGTTAATAACGTTTTTTTTCAATATTTTTTATAAAATGTTTATAATATCCAATGAGTATTAAAATTTTTATTATATAAATTATAATATTTTATAAATTAAAATGAGTATAACTAAAGATTGACCATTCTAATTTTATAAATTATAAATTATAAAAAATATTTTTTATAAAATATTTATAATATTTTATAAGAAAAAAGTTTTTAAAAAAGTTCAAGATATTTTTAAAATGTCTTTTTTAAGAAAATATTAACAAGTAGAACGTCAAAACGACGTCGTTTTGACATTTTAAGTAACGATCAACCCAGTTCATCGTTATATATAATAAAAATTAGGAAAATTAGATCAATTTTTTCTAAAAACCATAAATTTAGGGTTAAATATGTAATTTGATACAAAGTGCATGAAATTGCCAAATCCCAATAGAATAGAAGCAAAATGTGTAATAAATCAATTTTTAGTATGAACATGCATTCTATTAGGGATAATTACATTATTAATATACTAACTTTGAATTTTTTTTTAAATCGAATACATCAATTTTTTTTTTTTTTGGTTAAGTCTATCAATTTTTTCGAAAACGTCAATCAAGATTCTTCGTCAAATTTTTCACACAATGATGATGTGACGGTTAATGCGTAAGATTAAATGCTTATGTTGTCTTTTTTCCCTCTCAAATTATTATTATTATTTAACTTTAAAAAAAAATTGATGATATATATAAATTGGCACTTGTGCGTGCAAGCTACAAGCTTTTTTTTTTTTTTTAAATGGTTAAATAATAATAATAATTTGGGAGGAAAAGAAAATGCAACATAGTTATTTAGTCGTCTGAATTAACCGATAAGTCATCATTAGACAGTAAAACTTGATGAAAAAATTTGATTGGTATTTTTTAAAAAATTTGATAAACACAAATGAAAAAAAATTAAAAATTAGAAGTACTCCATTGAAAAAAAAAAATTCAAAATTAGTATACTTAGAATGTAGTTTTCCTCGTTCTATTAACGGTTCAAAATTAAAAATTCAAAATTTGATTGGTTTTTATGATTATGGGCTATTAACAACCTTATTCATTACAGGCTCATTTAAAGGAGGGAGAGCAAGCCCAAAACTGGAGTAAATTCAGCAATGTGTACCAGAAGCATGGGTAGTAACAGAATTGGATTGACTTTCCTCCCACCCTTCTCACAGAGATCATTGATCCACCCTTCACCACTAATCAGCATTTTCTATTTAGACAATCCTGAACGATACTATCGAGGTTAAGAATTGCATCAGATTTAGCTACGCGATCTCCATTATCATTGAGAAGAAAAATTTTCCTTTACAGAGAGAAGCCCTAGTTCGCCGTTGCAATACCTCTCCTCGCCCCCCATTACCGCCGGTGTGCACCGCCATGGAAGAAGGGATCATGAATAAGGGGGTGTTTGGTTGGAGGTTAGAAGAGATCAACTTTTACAATGGTAAAGTTTATCAGTATTGTTGTTATTTATTTATTTACTTATTTTTTTGTCTATTTATTAAGGAAGGGTACTAAGGCTGTATTTGTTTGGGAAAAAATAAGTCTCAAGAATTTGTTTTCTTCATTTTTTAGTGTTTGTTTCGCTTTTAGAAAAAAAGTCAACGGAAAATGATTTCCAGTCAACGGAAAATGATAGAATATTTTTGAAAAAATATTTTCCAAATTTAAAAAGAGGAAAACATTTTCGTCCCCATGAGTCTGTCTCGCTCTTGCATTACTTACCTCTCTTTCGATATATTTTAACAATTTTTTTTATCTATCTTCTTTTTATTTAAAATATATCAAATGAATTTTTAATTATTTTTTACTATTATCTTAAACACAACTTACATTATACTTAAATGAATGAAAATGATTATTATAAGACTATAATTTTTTTGTAATAATTTTAAAATTAATTAATTCATTAATAAATACATTATTTTCTCAACATTATTCATTTTCAATTAAATCAATAATTTATGATTTTAATTAGTTGTAAAATTTTGTTAGTAATTGTAGTGAATAATTAGTTACAAATTATTCCAACATTAATCTTTTGAAACTAAATGAATAATTATCTACAAATAATAACTAATAATTTATAAAATATTTTTTAAACTAAATTATTAGTTCAATTTCTTAAAAAAAAAGAAAAGAAAAAGAATTCTTAATTGAATTACCAAAATGACAATGCTAGGATTACTTAGAATATGTTTTTTTTTTACTAAATATGAATATTAACTTGATTTTATCCCAAGTAATTTTGATGAATTGGTTTGATGGTTAAAAAATACATTTTATTTTTTTAAATTAAAATTTTAGAGTCAACATTTATGAAAATTTATTAAAATTTTCTAAATGTATCTTATATTGTGAAATTATAATATACTTTTTTGAAGTTTTCTTAAAACTTATTGATGTAACAATCATATACTTGTTGATATTTGTTGATGTATCAAAAAAACACCGAAATATATTTTTCAGTAGTTTTTTCATATAATTGCCAACCGATAGAAAATTTTTTTTTGAAAAATAATTTTCTAAAAAATAGCTTCCTTAGGAATTTATTTCCTATGGAAATTGTTTTCTCGCCAAACAAATGGAGCTTAATTACCTTCTAATTGGGGCTTTTGAAGGTAACTATTACCCTCTAAACAATATTATTTCTTTATATCTAATTAATTTTTAATTTTCTCACACTAATCTTTATTGATTTTTTAATTTTTATTTTTTTTGCTAAGATTTATCCATTCGCCAAATATTATTTATAACCAACTTTTAAACCCTTAAAAATTATTCTTATAATAATTTCTCGGATAACAACTCACTTCAGTTTTTCTTTTAACCTCATACCAAAAACCCTCAAAAGAGGTTAAATAGATTCACTATCTGCACAAAAGTACTGATATTAAGAAAAAAAACAACAAAAAAGCTTCAAGAAGATTATGAACCTAACCCTAGATGCTTATATATATATACACACGCAGAGAGAAGAGTATTACACTACTTATTGTTACAATATATTAATGTTTACTATCAATCTCTTTACAACATTGTAACATAGTATATATGTATTATTGGAACTCATCTATAGTGATAATCCAATTATATATCATGGACAAATTAAACGTCGTTAGAACTCAATCAATAATATTCGTTTTACGTCCGTTTCTTTTGTTCGACAATGACAAACTACCAAACTATGTCACTAATTAGCATTTGGCTTAATTATTTGTTCATTTCCACCAACTTTAGTACTTATCCGATGACTACTATATATATATATATATATATATATATATATATATATGCCAATCTTGTGCTCATTTTTATCGTCTTAATTGACAATCATTTGTAAAGTAGTTGTCAATTTTAACAGTCATTTTCAAAAGTCGCCAATAGTAATACCTTAGCACTAAAACAATAATGGTTTACGATACCATCGCCCGTCTATTTTTCTTATTGTTAACAAAAACGTTAAATAAAAGATCCACAAATCAGTTCAAGCGCACTGTATTTTGTTTGTTTAGGAACTTTTATCTAAGTTCATTCTGACGAAGTCTACAAATTTTTAATCACTTTCAGTCATAATTATAATTATACTTATGAAAAAGATGAGGCTTCAAATCCAAAGTCCTACAGAGCACAAAAAGAAGAAAAAGCTCAGTGACCTTGGAATAGATTTGCTTGCATGTCACTTAATTGTTACGTTTGGTTTGATGGGAAAACCACAGTTGGTCGTGTCATCAAATCACTGTCCAAAAATATATGAAAGCAATGTTGCAGAAGGGGTGTCGTTTCCACTCCGAAAAAGGGACCCAAGGCTAAGGGACAAACAAATTTATTTCGGAGGGATCCTCGATAAGGCAAGATAAGGGGAGCGTTTACATCCATTTTAAGACCCTTGTTAGATACAGATGCAACATAGCCCAATGGCCACCCTACAGATGCAACATAGCCCAATGGCCACCCTCGTGCGCTTTCGTAACTTTTTTCTTTAGGGTCACATGATTGGACATGCAAAAAGATGTATTATTTGTTCTTGAGGACGATCACATCCTATATCGGCTTTTACGCACTGAAATTAAATTATTTTCTTATTATATCTTGTTGTATCTTAAGCTAATAGATATAGCAATTCAATGGTATCATTCAAATTGTTTTCGAGTTCAGATCACTTCATGTTTGATTCTAACATAGATGATTTGATCAATTGAATAGGATCACATTTCGTATTTGTCCTCAATCACTCTATACTTGATTCTAATTAAATTTGATTACTTGAGTAAGATTGGATCAATTCATAGATTTGAGAGTTATTTTCTTCAATCTATGAGTTTGATGATGTTCATTAAATATGGTTAATGAGTTTGGAGGTCTTCGTGCTCTTGATTTTGTTTTAATAAGGTCTTTTATTTTTTAAAATTTTTAATTCATATTGTTTACTATAATTCTGTTAATATTTTTAGTCATTCTGTCAATGATGATGTTATTTGACTATTTAAAATATTCTTAAAATATGTTTTTTTATATTAAAAAATAATAAATAGATAAATAATTTTTTTTAATGAACAAAAGTATAAAAATAAGAAAACTAAATAAATAAAATCGAGTAAAAGTAAATCATATCAATTTTGTCTTTCCTTAATTTTATAATTATATTTTATTAATTATAAAATAAAAAATAACTATGAAATTGAGTAAAATTAAAATAGAAAAGAAAAAAAGTCTAATTAAATCCAACAAAAATCTTTGGACTACAACCCCTTCATGATCACGCATACATTTCCATAACAATATAGAAAATTTTGTTTCAATTTTTTTTTAAAAAACAACCATGCAAAACAATTGGATATTTTAAACTTAGCACATAAGAATTTAAATGTAAGATAATTAAATATGCCTAAGCATATAAGCGCAACAAAATTAATAAGACACATACCTCATGTCATGATTGATTAAGTGCTCAAGATATTGCTAGAAGAAAACTGGAGCCACCAAAGAGAGAGAGCCTTTTAGTCTATGCCAATACTTTAGGGTTTTGTGTGTTGATGGAAAACACAAGCTTTACTTACTATTTATATGGCTAGACTAGGGACTCTTTCTTTAACCTAATTTTGTACCTCCATTCATCATGGATGTGCCTAGCCCACCACTAAAGTCCATTGGGCTCTAAATCTTTAAATTGTCACTTATAGATTTAAAATAAAACATGACACATGGGTCACATTATAGAAATATTTCTTACATCCTCCCACTTGGCCCATATGACACTACCTAAAAATGATAATTTCTTTATAGAGTCCAGAATGATTAGTTAGTGAAAACACTAATACTTAGATGAAGAATGCAATATATGAATCATAGCGGTTATGCTTTATAACTAAGCACTTCCCTTCATGTATTACAATACATGACATCCTTAAAATAAGCACTTAATGAGCAAATAAACTTTATGAATGAACTTCTAATAAGTCATTCGAGTCCAACTTTATATATCAAACTAATACTTTATGTGCAAAAAAATCACATCAATCTCTAAGAACAACCTAAAAAATGTCTAGAAAATTAATAAAAGAAAATGAAGTCAAATAATAAATGGGTTAGCTAGACCCATACGATCCACATGATCTCTATACTTGTTTTGTCGGTAGTGCTTTAGTTATAGGATCCGCAATCATTAGCTCGGTGCTAATATGCTCAATAAGCACTTCATATTCCTTCACTTTCTCTCTCACGATGAGATACTTTATGTCGATATATTTATTTCAGCTTCCACTTTTATTATTCTTAAGAAGAAAATCGAGTTAAATTGTCACAATAGATTTTTATTAGTCTTGATATGGAATCGATAATTTGTAGACCGAAATGAAGTCTCTTAACAAAATAGCTCGTGTCATTGTTTCATAGCATGCAATGAACTCTGCTTTCATAGTAGATGAAGCAACAATAGTTTGCTTAGTGCTTCTCTAAGACACAGCTCCTCTAGTAAGAAGAAAAATATACCCCGAAGTAGACTTTCTTGTGCCTACACAACCAGTAAAATCGAATCGAATAACCAACCACCTCAAGGTAATTAGTATGTATGTAAGTCGACTCTATAATTCTTGGTTCTTTGTAGATATCTTATGACTTTCTTAACAACTTTCAATGATCCATTCCGGGATTGCTTTGGAACCTACCTAGCATTCCTACTGCAAAGCCAAGTCGAGTCTTATACAACTCGTGTATACATCAAATTGCCTACCTGCAGATGCATAAGGAATGTTACTCATCCGCTCCTTTTCCAATCATTTTATGGACATTGATTTAGATTGAATTTATCCTCTTTGACAATAGATGTCAATGAAGATGCACAATTTGACATCCCGAATCTTTTCAAGACTTTTTCAATGTAGGCTTTTTTGAG